TAAGAGTCCGACTTCAGTTCAGGTCGGGATCTCACAGTTCATGGGTTTGAGCCCCATGTTGGGCTCTGAGCTGACAGCTTGGATCCTGGAGCCTGCTTCAGATTCTGTGTCTCCCTCTCTCTTTGTCCCTCCCCTGCTTGTGTGCGCGCGCTCTCTCTCTCTCAAAAATAAATAAAACATTAACAAAAATAAATGGGAAAACAGTCTAGACTTAATTGGGAAGAGAAAAAAGAGGGGCACTGAAAGCTTTTGAAAATAATGCAAAAGACCCTTTCCAACGTGAACATTTTCTCTTTGAACTGGCAGAGTAAGAGGCACCACTGACCATTGACAATCCTGCCCTTCACCTGTTGAGAGTCAAGAATAAACAGATGGCTCTGAAAGGGACTACAACTGTGGGTCACCCTTCTGGAACTGCAGGGCATTAGCAGCAGGTTTGTTGGTTACAAGGTCCTCACTGTCCTCTTCCTAGAAGACTTCTGCTAGAGAGACCTACAGGAGAGGAATAATAAAGGGGCCTGACCAGTGTGAACCCATCTGAATACTCTAAGAAAGTTACTACAAAAATCTGAAATGATGGTGGTCACGGAATTATATTCACGCAAGTGCTGTTCAACAAAGTAAACCAAAGAGCATTGTGTTTCCCAATTACCCAGTCTGTAGGCCAGATTCTAAGATGACCCCCAAGAATGCTGCCCCCTTGTGTACACACCCTGTAACAATCGCCTCCCCTGGAGTGCTAGGGCCCCGTGAATGTGATGGATATCACTCTGTGATTACCTCACTAACCAGCTGGCTCTGAGTTCATTGAAAGGAAGATTATCTGATTGGGCCTGACATAATCAGGGGAGGATTTCAAGAAAGTGAACAGAATTGCTGGTGGCCATGAGTTCTGTAGCTGCAAGGAGATGAATTCTGTCAACAAGCACATAAGCTTGGAGGAGCCTTGGTAGCAGAGATAGGACCTCGGCCCCAACCAACACCTTGATTTCAGCCCCACGAGACTCTTAGCAAAGGACTCAATCATGCTATGTCCATACTTCTGATCTACAGAAACTAAGATAATAAATGGGTATTGATTTAAGACTCTAAGTTTATAGTAATTTTTTATGCAGCAACCAAACAATTAATACACCCAGGCTCAAAACAACAAGAGCAATACAATAAATTGCTAACCTTTATTTTTTTTTATTTTTTTTTTTAATTTTTTTAACATTTATTTATTTCTGAGACAGAGAGAGAGACAGAGCATGAACGGGGGAGGGGCAGAGAGAGAGGGAGACACAGAATCAGAAGCAGGCTCCAGGCTCCGAGCCATCAGACCAGAGCCCGACGCGGGGCTCGAACTCACGGACCGCGAGATCGTGACCTGGCTGAAGTCGGACGCTCAACCGACTGCGCCACCCAGGCGCCCCAAATTGCTAACCTTTATATAGCTTATATGGAAAGCGTTCTCCCAAGAGCTTTATATATACTAACTCATTTAACCCCTGTACAACCTTAGTAGGTACTACTATTTTACCTTAGTAGGTATTTTGTAGGCGCTGATAGCAGGTATTACTGTCATCCTCATTTATAGATGAGCAATCGGAGGCACAGAACAATCAAGCACTTTGCCCAAGTTCACACAGCCAGCAAAGGACGGAGGTACAAAAACAAAATGGCATATAAGATGGACACGAGCATCAAATCTGAGGCCGGCACCAAAGGAAGATGATGCTGTGGAATTAGGGGCTGATCACAGAGGGCCTTGAAGGCCATAGAAAGCAGACTACAGAAATCACAGAGGGGCTGTCATCTGAGAAATGGTGCTCAGATCTGCAGCAGAAGTAGACTGTTGGGGGTAGGCCTAGGGGGAAGTAGAGAGTGTGAAGGAAGGACTTCAGAGCGGTAAGGCAGGAGGCAGGGAGACCAATGAGAAGATACTACAGTGTCACTTCGCTTCCATGGAGGTGACCCCTCCCAGAATGTTTTGTGTCTTTCCCGTGTACGATGGGCCATCACGCGCAAGACCTGCATCATTCACACACCTCTTACAGAGTGACAAAAGCTGGTCATAGACCAAAGCTAGCCACACCCCTGATAGTCTCTCCTTCAGTTACTTTGCATGTCTTAAAAAGATCAAATTTCTCCTTGAAGTTTTCCTCTTTTCCCTCCCATCTCTAGAGTTTTATTAGACGCGCGTGCCAGTCGTTTCCAGGGCATGCAACTACCTTTTTGGTTGGTCTGTGAGCTCTGAGGACTTCTCACCCAGAGGAAAACAAAGGATGGGCCCTGGTATTCTCTAGGAATCATTTGGCACCACAATAAAAGGACCAACCTGTGACCACCACGGAGTCCCACAAGAGGCACACGACTGTGGCACTTCTGGTCCTTAAGAAAGGCAAGGAGGTGCTCTTCCCTTAGACATCCCCAGATGTATGTGCCCTTGAACGCCATGCTATATTCATCACACAGACTGCGTTGCCAGCTGGGCTGAATGACAGGGGCCGGCAGATTTCAATGACTGCCGGCCTCCTCTCAGCTCCTTGCTGCAACCTAATGAGACTGGAGGGGAGCCAGACCCCGGTCAGGAGAAAAGCCCCAAGAAAAAGCTCCGTAGCCAAGAGCTCACAGGGGTAGCAGCCAGAGTGGGTAAAAAGGACTGTGCCTTTAATTACATAAAATGCATTCTGCAAGTTCCCATCTGCCTTGCTCTTCACACTGAGATTTTTCCACATATACAATTCCAAGAAAAACTCCCATCTTCGTGTTGTACCTCCAGAAGCCAAACTATACAACAGAGTCTCGGTCCCACAGGAGAAGAAGTAAAAGACACTGATTTACGGCAGTGACCATTATATTACCTCCTCCTATTGTAGTATTACAAACCCATTAAAACTTAGTAAGCCTTCAAAAAAAGTTTTTGAGTGACTCTTCAAACATGTCAGTCACTAAAAAACAAAAAATTGGACACTGAAGAGACACGATGACCAAACGTAATTTATGACCTCTGATTGGATTCTAGATGCAAAACAGAAAAGTAAATAAGGCTATAAACATCTAATTTAAATATGGACTGTATGTTGGAGGACATTATTGAATAAATGTTAATTTTCTTAGGCAGGATGATGATGCCATATAAGAGGATGTCTTTATTTTTAAGCAAACGTATGAATTATTTAGGGATGATTTATGATAACGTCTATGACATAATTTCAAATAGTCAGGGGAAAAAAAGGTGTGTGCATATGAGAGACAAAGAGAGAGAGAGAGAAAATATTTGCCCATCATGAAGAAAGAGATAAAGCAAATATGGCAAAATATTAACAATTGGTGAATCTAAATTAGGGATTGGCAAACTTTTTTTCTGCAAAAGGCTTTCTGGGCCCATAATGGTCTCTGACAAAATGACTCAGTTCTGTCATTGCACCCAGACAATACATAAATGAATGGGAATGTCTGTAGTCCTATACATTTTATTTACGAAAGCAGGCACTGGGCTGGATTTGGCCCACAGGCTGTATGGTCCACAGGGCCTATGCCAGGTGAATGCTGCGTAGACATTCACTAGGCTATTCTTTCAACCTCTCTGTACCTTTGGAAGTTTTCCAAGAAAAGTTGGGAGAAAAGGGTTTTAAATTTATAGAAGCGTATTCAGCTACATGGCTTGGCTGGCAAGACCAATTTCATAAAATTCAAGGAGAAAACAGTGGTTGCCTCAGAGTCAACTATTGCAAAGTCACTGAGGTAAGTGATCAAGTGCCACTGATGGAAAGTTACCACCTCTGGCTAACTGGAAAGTACTGTAACCTGAGTCTCAATTCAACACAGGTACTTAATGTAAAGTTCCTAAAAAGAGTCCATTTTGTGTTAGACTAATATTAATGTGTGTATTTAGACCGCTGTTTTTGTAACTACCATGCATTAGCTCCTCCTTGTTCTTGGTGCAGTGGTTTCCCATTTCATTCATTTGTGGACCTGCCCCATGCATGAAAACACTCCCCAGGGCTCTAGGGTTAAGAAGGCCTGAGCTTTCCGCCCTCCCTAGGGCCTCTTCTCTGAAAAAGTCCTTGTACTTTGCTACCTGCTTTTCTTGCTTCAAAGGCAAAATGAAGGAAAGCCCAGGGGGGTCTCTACCTCCAGAGTGTAGCAGTATCCCTGGCCTGTAGTACTCACTCAATATTTAAAATAAATTAAGTGCTGCATTCTAGGGACTTATGAGAACAACAACAACAACAACAACAACAACAACAACAACAACAAAAACCAATAAAATTCCTTATCTTCATGGAGCTGACATTCTAGTAGGTAAATTCATAAGGACTTACAACAAAAGTCTCTTATCTTCTGGATTAATTTCCATGATACATTAAATGGCTGGATTTGTTCAAGACATCCCTAAACAGAGGTCTGCCTTCCAGTCAGACAGTGGAAGTGAGAGAAGAACAAATATATCAAGGGACACTGTAAAACAGCTTTGGAGTCCAAAGGTCTCCAGTTAGGATTCCAGTCCCATCCATTTATTAGCTTTCGGCCTTGGGCATCGTTTCTGAATCTTACTGATCCTCAGATTCTGAATCTGTAAGGGGGGGGCCCCCCCCCCCCGGGGGTGCCATCAACCTTACAGAAACACCAGAATTATAGAGGATATATATTAAGAACACAGCCAATGTCTGGCACCTTCTGGGCATTCATTAGATGGAAGTTATTATTATATTCTTGTCAACTCAGGTCAAGAAAGGCCTATGGAAAGTGAAATGAGGAATGGTTTATCCACCCATGAAAAACAGACACAGTGTATATACACTATAAATATACACTACAGCCCTTGCCAGTGACATGGGACATGGTGAGAGGAAGAAAGAAAGAAAGAAAGAAAGAAAGAAAGAAAGAAAGAAAGAGAGAGAGAGAGAGAGAAAGAAAGAAAGAGAGAAAGAAAGAAAGAAAGAAAGAAAGAGAAAGAAAGGGAAAAAGAGAAAGGAAAAAGATAAAGTTTAAAAAGGTAGTTGCTATTATTGTTTAGTTACTATTATTAACTGCCAACTTGTCACTTTTCTACAGGCTACCTCAAAGTTACTCACAAGCTATGTACCAAAAGTCCATTTGTAAGACAGCTGCTGACATGTCATTTGTAATTATCGCACAGAAACAACCTCTGCATGGTGGTTCCCAGAACCAAACATGCCCACTTAATCCAAAATGTACGTGGAGGGAGTATTAACCATATTACGAACCTAACTGCTGAGCAGAACAACATTTCAGCGGGAAAGTGCATGCGTTGAGAAAAGCCAAGCACGCAGCCTTCTTGGCTTCCAGGATTCCGGAGGCCATAGAAAAAGCTTCATCAGCCCAAGGCAGTACCACGGGAGGGAGGAGGGGAGAAGGGTGGACGAGCAATTGAGCGCAAACCTCTGATCACACCACGGCCTGATCCTTTCTCCCCCTCATATCTTCAGAAGGCAGGTAGGAGCCTGCCGCTACCTTTCCCCTTCTCCAGCTGTCATTTCCAACTGGACAGCGACTTCTCTGTTCCTTGATCCTCTGCAGAACAGCCTGCAGCTTTCCAGCTCGGGGGAAGGAACCAGCATTTAATGGTTCTCTAGGGAAACCAAACAGGTGGTAAGAGGCTGCCTTCTTTGTCCGATCTCCTTGGCTTTCTTTCCTTTACAGCCAACAGGGAAAGGTCAACATGATGGTGGGTTTGGAGTTCACAGAAAATGAAAGGAAGCTCATTCGTGTTTCAAGTGAACCTAGACGCCTACACTGCCAGGTATTCAAGATGCCATATACACCCAGCATCCATATAATTTTCTGTTTCAACAAATGAAAAGACTGAGTGGAAATAATAAAATGTAAACTGCGATGACATCTGCTGAATTTCTTATCTTAATACATTTTCTATAATAAATATTTGCCTTAAAAGTCTTAATAAGGATTAGGATATCTCAAAAAGATTTGCAAGTATATCAGAGAGGATCAGATCCTTTTGGAGAATCAATAACTAATACCAATATTACTTTTCTGTATTATATTACAAGGTTTGATTTAAAAAAAAAAAAAGAAAGAAAGAAACAGGGGGCACCTGGGTGGCTCAGTCGGTTAAGCGTCCGACTTCAGCTCAGGTCATGATCTCACAGTTCATGGGTTCAAGCCCGCGTCTGGCTCTGTGCTGACTGCTTGGAGCCTGGAAGCTGGAGCCTGCCTCAGATTCTGCATATCCCTCTCTCTCTGCCCGTCCTAGCTCACCACACTCTGTCCTTTCCTCTTTCTCTCTCAAAACTCAATAAACGTCAAAAAAAAATTTTTTTAAAGAAACATGACTTTTGTTAGGTTTTCTACAAGTGAAGCAAACAAACTCCCTTTAGCAGAAAAGCAATTACAGATTTCAGAATTTAAGGAATACGTTACCAAAACATCTCCAGGAACTTACCCCACAATTAATAGAATTTGGGGATTTCCTGGACCTGCCGTGTGCTCACGGTTGCTCTCCCAGCCTGTACGGGTTCCCGCCAAGCTCCAGCAACTGGCAGGTGCCCAGAACAATCAACACTGGCCAGACTGTCAATGCATTTATATTTGCCGGGAGTGCTTAATGAGGATAGCAGGCCTTCCACCGGGAGGTGGCTTGTTATGCCGGGGGGGGGGGGGGGGGGAGGAGCGGGGGGCGGCAGTTCTGGGGAAGCTTGACCCAGAAGGTGGCAGCTGGCTGGCTGCTAGAAGGAGCAGAAGACAATTTATGGATGGGAAATGAGCAGAAGCATGGCGGGTGGCAGGGAGAGAAGGAAAAGCTGGGGAGGGGAAGAAAGCCAGGAGAGGGCAGCTGGAGGAGCATGTGAGAGCCCTGGGAAGGATCTGGACTGTTCTCTGGGTGGTGAGGACACAAGGGCAGCTGAGGAGGATGGAAGGAGTCTGCGGATCTGACCTTTATTTACAGAGACAAGGTCTGGTGGCAGGAGGGGGATCCACTGGCTGGAAGACAGGGTCCACTTAAGAGATTATTACAAGAGCTCAGGGAGAGATGAGGAAAGCCTGAACCCACACAGAAGCAACAAGAACAGAAAAGAGGGGGCGGTTGTGAGCACCCCCGTTGGCTGGTCAGTTGAGTAGATGTGGAAGCAGAAAATGAGAAGAAGGAGGGTGTTTGAGGCGGTGCTGAGGTTTTTAACCACTGAGACCATCTTCAGGAACAGAGGAGGGGGAGATTTGCGAGAACTGGAAATGATAAATTAAGTCTGGAACATTCTGTATTCAAAGAACCACAGCTCTTTGGGAGCTTCTATTTGGGTCTGGAGCTAAGGGGTGAATTCTGGTGGAATTATGCAGGTTTGGAAATCACCAGGACGTGCCCATGGCAGGACAGGGAGCATGATACTGCCCAGGAGAGTTCAGACAGGACAGGAGACACTAAAACAGGACCATCCAGAATGCCAACATTTAAAGAACCGTCCGAGGAGAAGGAGCTCATTATGCCTGAAGAGAGGCAAATGAGAACAGGAGAACCAGGCAAGACTGCCAGGGAAGCCAAATGAGAGCACTGTTCAGGGAGCCCCGTGTTTTCCAGAGCCAAATGCTACCATGTTGCATCTAGGGTACCCACACTGCCACTTACTGGCTGAACAGCCACAGGCAAGTTGCTTACCTGGTCCCCGCCTCAGTTTCCTCCTCTAAAAGAGTAAATCCTCACAATGGCCTCCAAAGCCCTCCAGAAGCTGCTGCCCACGACCTCTCTGACCCCATCTCCACCGCCCTCCCTCTCCCTGCAGCCAGGCCCAACTCCTTGCTGGTCTTCAGCCAACCCTGCCAGCGCCTCTGCACTGCTCTTTTTCTTACCTAGCTATTACCTAAAACAATCTCTGGTATATAGTAAGTCAACATCCAATAAATATGCATGGAAGGAATGAATGACCATCAAAATGGAGACACTCATAATATCATAGGGCTGCTGTGAGGGGTTAAGTAAGAAAATATACATAAAGTGCTTAGAAGAGGACAATGTTTGGCACGATGAGTGTTTTCTATTATGATACTTATTTCTATTAGAATGTAAACTGTTAAGTCGTCAACGGATGGATTTTCTATTAAAAAAAATTTTTTTTAACGTTTATTTATTTTTGAGACAGAGAGAGACAGAGCATGAACGGGGGAGGGTCAGAGAGAGAGGGAGACACAGAATCCGAAACAGGCCCCAGGCTCCGAGCGGTCAGCCCAGAGCCCGATGCGGGGCTCGAACTCATGAACCGCGAGATCATGAGTCGGCTTAACCGACCGAGCCACCCAGGCGCGCCTGGATTTTCTGATTAGAAGGACATTACTGACTTTTGGGAGAATTTCCCTGCAACGATAGGGTAAGAAACCAGACTGCCAAAGTTAGGAAGTCAGTGCAGAAGCAAAAACAGTGGAGCAAACACACAGAGACACCTTTAGGAAGTCTGGCAGAGAAGAGATTCTGAGGTGAGGGACGGTGGGTCAAAGGAAGGTTGGCGGACTGGTTCTTTTAGGCAAGTTGCATGGCAGGAGACACGTGGCGCCCTGCTCATCCTAGAGCTTCCCTGCCCCTCCCAGACCACTGATGCTATCATCCTCATGAGCAATGCTCATTCGTTTGAGGTTTGAGCCATCAGTTCCCCACCATAATGACCTTCCACCCTACTCGTTATTTCTGTCACAATCATGGGGGACGCTGACGCCAAGCTCACCACTCAATACAATCAACATTTTAGTTGACTTTAAATTCTCCACGGGCAGCCTGTTCGATAATCTGGCTTTCCAGTTCTTTAACTGCTTTGATTCCAAAAGTTTTTACTTACGCGCCCTACTTCAGGGTCATAATCGTCACCCATACGTGGCCTGTGGAGTTTTATTTTTTTATTATTATTTTTTTTAATTTTTTTTTTCAACGTTTATTTATTTTTGGGACAGAGAGAGACAGAGCATGAACGGGCGAGGGGCAGAGAGAGAGGGAGACACAGAATCGGAAACAGGCTCCAGGCTCTGAGCCATCAGCCCAGAGCCCGACGCGGGGCTCGAACTCACGGACCGCGAGATGGTGACCCGGCTGAAGTCGGACGCTTAACCGACTGCGCCACCCAGGGGCCCCGGCCTGTGGAGTTTTAAACTCCAACATCCTACTGTGGGTTTAGCCCCTCTCCCTCCAGGCTCCTCATTCCTTCTCTCCCATAGTGTTTGCTCTTCCAACCCAAGATGCCCCTTTTCTCTCAGTCCATTGCCCTCCCCCCTTGCTGCCTGGTTTCCTTCACGATCCAGTCCAGACCAGTGAGACTCTTCTACTACTCCCCTCTTGTGTCTTCGGCACCCCTACCTCTCTGTCTTTCTGTTAAGGGGCAAAGACTAGGAAAAGGAAATAGCGCAGGTGGAACAGTTAGCCTTGGAAATGAGCCTGGTGGCCAACCAACACAGCCATCGCTTGCCTCCATTCGAAGAGGGATCAGGTATGCCCACTCCTCATGTTTCTGCATGAGGGGACAACACTTCCGGCCCCTCACTCTTCTTCTGCCAGGTTGGTGTGGGAGAAAGAACAGGGCATGCTCAGTTCAGCCAGTTTGGACTTCCCCTCTGTGGAAGACAGCCTGTCTGTAAGACATATGTGTCCTGTCTGTCTCTGCCATGTGGTAAGAGGCTTCTCTCTGTGGGGGAGGGCTGTGGTTGTCCAGCTGTGCCAGGAATGGGTGGATAAAGTTAATTCAGGAGTGAGGATTAGCAAACCCACTTGGCTACAGCTCTGAACCCATGTTCTCCTATTTGTTTCATGAGAAGTAAATCTGATATTTTGGTCTCTATTTGCCTCCTGTGTTTATGCCTCAGCTGAGAGGGGAAGAGAGGAGTATTATTTACCGATCGCCCTAAATCCCTAATGGCCTGCCCCTGGTGCTACTGGAAATAATGATGCTGTTATTGGGTCTGGGGCTGCTATAAATTTATAAGCTTCCACCTCACTGAGCCCCACTGGATTTACTTGGTAATCCTTCTAGGTGTCTTTGATCAGCCCCTCTCCTGGTCCTTGCTGAGGTTTTTACACGCCTCCTCTGCCTTCTAAAATCTCTCTGCCATGCCTTCATCTTCTCCATCACAGATAGATGTCATTAGCCCCCAAGAGTTAAATCCCTTCACTCTGGGTGATCCCAGTTCTGCATATGAAAGCTTTTAAAAAAAAAAAAAAAAAAAGAATATAAAGTAGGATATTTTAAGGCATTTGAAAACAATCTGATGACATTTTTTCAGCCATGGGTGCAAAATGTAAGTCTACGTTAGAGTGATGATCAAACAGCCAGTGGTATGCTACATTACTTTTAGTTTATTTCTTCTGAATTTATTCAAATATATTTACCGCATATTCATTAAATGAAAGGCAACGTACTGTGCTAGGTGCTTTGGGCAGAAAGGGGTCATGGTAAGAGTTGGGACTCTTATTTGCAAGTGAGAGAACTCTGGATGGAAACAGACATATATTGGATTACAGAGCCCAGTACACCCCAGCCTCAGGGGAGTGGGGATGCACCTGACCCTTTGAAACTGGAAGCCAGGACCTCATGTGTTTGGAACCTGCAATTGCTTCATTTCTTGTCTGCTCATTCTGCACGTTGACTTATTTGCTTTCATTGCAGACAGGTTTCCTCCACATGGATCCCTAGTTACCAAGTTTCATATACGAAGGTTGTCACCCCCTATGAGGACTAATTCTTTTTTTCCCGTGCAGTTCGAAAAAATCCCAGGAAAAGGAAAAGACCCTTATTGGTGAGGTTCCCTCCCACAGTGACTAACGGGATGGGTAAAAGAGACCAGGAGTCATTTTAATCAATGGTGGGGTAAGGGTACGGGGGCAGAAGAAGTTCCAAAAGGAGA